GGTTGTAAGACGTGGGGAGGGACACTTTGTCGAGCGGTGCCGTTGGAGCGGGGCGTTGGCGCGGGTGCACTGGTGGCGGGAGCCCGGGTTCGGGACCGCCTGCGCTGTTGACATTTTTTTACTTTTTTTAAATTATTTGATATGTACTGTAAGATACTGGCAGTCTCATAGTCAGAGAAATTACTAGTGGCGCTCGCGCATGCGCTTTATCGATAAATACAAGCGCTATATTCAAATGATGATAGCAACGCGTTTCCTTAGATACATAAACTATTTATTTAACAAAAGAGAATTGTCATAGCAATAGGTGTGTTTGTGAGATCGGAGGGATGCCTGAGCGTCTTTTACCGTAAACCGTGAATCAGATCGGACGTGTCTCGTTGATCTCGTGTGATATGCTTAATTGATTAATCACATTTGTATTCTGAGTTTGTAATTAGTTCTGAGTTCGAGTTTATGAGTTGACCAATAAAAACGTGTTTCGATAAGTGCTCAAATTATTGCTTTATTCGATTTCTCACGTTCACTATAATATTTATATATACAGTTCAATAATTCATGGTTCAACTGTTAAACTATTATCCTTTTGAAAAAGCCATTCTCCTGACAAATTACAAATTGACTCGCTGTCTTACAGCAATTTTTTCAGAAGCGGGATCGTGCGCTCTTCCCCTTGATCTTATGGTCGATTATTAAGTCGTACTAATACAGTGATAATCGATACATGAATAATATCAGTGAACTGTACAAGTATTTGCATTATCTTCAGTGAATGTGATCAGTGATTCACAATAAAGAACGGCAGAGTTATTAAACTCTATCGTAACGCTTGTGATTCCATTCAATAAATTACGTGTTGAATTCACGTTCAATTGTCTTCAAGTCTTCTTGGATCTTGCATGAAAGACACGTTGTTTATTCCGTTGCCATGGATCGTCTTTCGTTCGAGAAGTTATCTTTTAAGGAACTCCAGGCAATGGCAAAGAAATATGGTCTCAAGTCATCTCCTTCACGCGATGGATGCATTGATATATTGACGGCTTATTTTGAGAAGAACAATTATGTGAATGAAACATCAAACCCTCCCATAGCATCGGATCGACGGAAGACTGTCTATTTTGAATCAATTGATGATCCTTTTCATCCTGCTTCACTCGTCGGAGAAGAAGCTGCTTCAGCTTTACCAGCTGTTCAAAACCCTGAAGAAGCTCTTACAGCACATACAGTTTCCCATTCTCCTTCAATGAGTAATACTGCAGGAGCGATGCCGGAAGAATTTCTTCCAAAGATTGGTGCTCTTCTTGCGAAACATCAACAGCAAATGATGCAACAAATGATGGAATTTTTATCATCCTATGCCTCATTTTCGGGTAATGCCGGATCACAAGGTCAGTCTGTTCCTAATTTTATACCTCAACCTGAAACACGATATCAAAATGCAGGTGCTTCAAACCATTTTAATGGTTCGTCGACATCAACTAATGCGAGTGCATCAAACCATTTTACTGGTTCATCGACTTCAACTAAGATTTCTGTAAATACAGTCAATCTTTGAGCTTCACAATTACCTGAATTTAGTGGTAAAGATGATGATAATGTAGAAATTTGGATTCAAAAGGTTGAACGAGTGTCTCGAATTCATGGTGCATCTCACGATATTATGTTGTTAGCTGGTACTAGTAAATTGGTAAAATCAGCTCGAAAATGGTTTGAGCTTGGCACAGGAACAATTAATGACACTTGGCCAAGTTTCAAGGAAGCTTTACTGAAACATTTTAAACGAAAGATTCCTTATGAAATTATTATGAATAAAGTCGAATCACGAAAATGGAATTATCTTAATGAATCTTTTCAAGATTATGCATTGGAAAAACTCTCTTTAATGCAAAGACTAAGATTACCTGATGATGACGCAATTCACTTTTTGATAGGTGGAATTACTAATGATTCTATTCGTAGTGCTGCCTCTGTCATTCGTGCTGATTCCTTGGATGCCTTCCTCAATGAGATGCATAGGGTTTCCCTCTCTTTTGGAAATGTGAAGAAAGAGTACCCATCTCACTTTAAATCACACAAAGGACGAGACAATGCTACATCATCTCCGAAAACCGATTCTTTGTCATCTTTTCAAAAGGATTTTAAGGAAAATAATTATTGTGTGTATTGCCGTACGCGTGGTCACATTAAGGACAACTGCTTCAGATTGAAGAGAAAAGAGCAACTTCAATCTACGGCTTCAAAGATACCAACACAAGTAGCTGCCATTGATCCTGCAACACCGACAGAAACTATTACGAGTCCAGAGAGATCACCTCCGATAGCTGCTATCAACGATATGATTACCAGACGACTGGATACAGAAGATTCTTCTCTTAAGGTCGTTTCATTAAATAATATTCCGTGCACATTGAAAGCTCTATTAGACACAGGTAGTCTTGTTTCTTTCATATCACCAACTGTGTACAGAAAATATTTTGATGACTTGAATATTGTTCTTAAAAAGCCATTAATTTCTTATCACTCTGTTTCTGGAAATTTAATTCCTATTCTTGGATCAATTAATACTCAAATTTGCTTAGAATCCCTTCCGAATTTTACTGGCAAGGTTAATTTTCTTGTGTTTCAGGATGATTCTTTCTTTGTAGATATTATAATAGGACGAGATTTTATAGCTGAAAATAATATAACTTTATATTTTCATCCGTCAAATAAAAAAGCAGATGATAGATTAAAGTTATTTAATGAAGTAGCATCTGCTGAAATATTAGAAGATCTTTCAATAAATGAAAATTCCATTTATTCCGATATTAAAACAGATTTTGGAAATGAGATTGATCAGAAAGTAATAGCGATTATTAATGAAGTAGAGAATATGGAAGTTGAATTAGCAGATAATGATCATCATGTGAAAGTAGCATTAAAAGATAATTCAATCTATGCTTATGCGCCGCGACGTTTTGCATGGGCAGAACGAATTCAAATCCGGGAAATAACTGACGATTTGCTAACACGTGGAATTATTAAACCAAGTGTTTCTCCGTACTGTGCTCGGGTAGTACCAGTTCGTAAGAAAAATGGAACTATTACCCTTTTGAAAAAGCCATTCTCCTGACAAACTACAAATTGACTCGCTGTCTTACAGTACATGTGGTGTGCATTGTTTGCTGCATGGAAATAGATATTTAGCATGTGTTAGATGGGCATAAATCTTCTTATATGTTTGCCTATATAAAATTGCTGTGAAATGGATGAGGTGTTTTTGCAGAGAGGTGTTCATGCTTTTGTTTTTAGGGATTTTTATACATTTTCTAAAATTTTCTTGAATGTCATTTATTAATTTTTTTTATTCACTGATGTCATATTTATTTTTTTTTTTTTTATTCACTGATATATTTATTTATTTCTTTATTCACTGATGTCATTTATCATGTTTTTATTTTACTAGACGACTTTATTATGTTATAGTTTGTCCGATTGCGATAATTTAATTATACTTTTAACTTGCGCTGAAGATAGCACAAAGACTGGCCGAAACGTCCGCTCATTGTATTTTTATTTTTATATCTATTTATAATTTTAATGCTAATTAACATTAATTTTTTTGCGCCCGATAACCTGCGCCTGGCTCTCATTGCCTGTCTCTTTGTTCGTCTTTTATCTTGTGGAGCTTTTATTACTTGTAATTTAATAATATTAGTTATTTATTATTATTATGTAGGACGTACCGAGGGGTTAATGAGATTTCAATAAGTCAGGGAGGAAGGCGTGAAGGAATTTGCTAGAAATGGTTGTTTATTAACAAACGATATTTGTATCACAACTGTAACACTTTAATGATTGGATCTCGCGTATCAAATACTTAATGGGCGCTCACGCCAATAGCGAAGAAGAACGCACGGAGAAATAAGTAAACGGTCTTATCTGTATGAGAGCCGGAACACGAGTCGCGACTCAACTCGCTCTTCTGTATCTCGAACCCTTAACAACCCATGGTTGCCTCACAACACAAACAAATATAGGTTTCCAAGTGATTAGCAAATGAAGGCGCTGTTGTCGAGTTGGCAAGCAACGAGACAACGGCTGCGAATGGGTTATAAGCCCTATAGCGTCTTACATATGCAGGATTTGGTAGACAAACTGACAGCACTCGGCAAGGAAATAAAGGATCATATTTTCGTAGTCATGCTGTTGAGTAGTCTGCCAGAAACATACAGTACGCTAATTACCGCATTGGAAAGCAAACCAGAGATAGAGTTGACGCTGAATTTAGTCAAAAACAAATTAATTGACGAATACAAAAGAAGAAGAGGTGTTCCGGACACAGAGAATTCAAGTAAGGCATTGAGGGCGTCGCAGAAAAAGGGTACAGATGCAGATAAGGGCAAACAATGCTTTTTTGTCATAAATTAGGCCATTTCAAGCACGATTGCTTCAAGTATAAGAAATGGAAGAGCAATAAAAACAAGACAGAAAAGACAAATGCAGCTAAAGGCGAAAATGAGCGAACAGGTTCCGTTTGCTTCAATGTACACGAAGCAGAGAGTCACCAGGATACATGGTATGTTGATTTAGGCGCCACAAGCCACATGATCTATAATCAGAGGTTCTTTGACGTTTTGGAGCAAAAGAATATGCGGGATGTAACTCTTGCAAATTGTCAAGGCGCAAAAGTTTTAGGGATTGGCTCTGGACAACTAAAGTGGCTCAATGAAAATAATAAAGAGGTTAAAGTCAAAATAAAAGACTTCCAATCGTACGGTGTCCAATCGTGCAGTGTCCAATCGTGCAGTGTGCGTGTCCAATCGTGCGGTGTCCAATCGTACAGTGTCCAATTGTGCGGTGTCCAATCGTGCAGTGTCCAATCGTGCAGTGTGCGTGTCCAATCGTGCGGTGTCCAATAATTCTATGTCCAAGTGTGCAGTGTCCGATCGTTCCGTGACCAATACTGCGTGTCCAATCGAGCGGTGTCCAATCGTTCCGTGTCCAAACGGGATACACCCAGTTTGTTTTTACGAAAGACCATAGAATATTTAGGATATATTGTTTCGGCTTCTGGTATAACATTGAGCTCACGACATACAAATGCCATTAAAAACGTTCCATATCCTGAAAAAACAGTTGAGTTACAACGTTTCCTTGGTCTAACAAATTATTTTCGCAAGTTCATTGAAAATTATGCTTATATTGCAAAACCTCTACATAATCTATTACGAAAGTCAAATGATTTTATTTTCAATGACGAATGTCGACAAGCGTTTGATAATTTAAAGTTAGCATTAACCTCATATCCTGTTCTTCGTATTTATGATCCAAACGCAGAAACGCAACTTCACACTGATGCAAGTTCAATAGCTTTAGCTGCTATTTTATTACAAAAACAGGATGCGAACAAATGGGCTCCAATTGCATATTATAGTCAGTCGACTAATGATGCTGAATCTCGTTATCACAGTTTCGAACTAGAAATGTTAGCCGTGGTAAAAGCAATTGAAAGATTTCACATTTATTTATATGGTTTACATTTCACTGTAGTTACCGACTGTCACGCATTAGTATATGCAGTCACTAAAGCACATTTAAATCCGCGAATATCACGTTGGACTCTAAGATTGCAATCTTACACATTTTCAGTGATACATCGACCGGGAATTAAAATGTCTCATGTTGATGCGTTAAGTCGTGTTGTTGCACTGATTGACGCATTGCCTCTTGAGATGGAATTAGAATTTCGCCAACTGAAAGACCCTTTAATTAAAAGCATTGCTTTAGAATTAGAAGAAAACGATCATGATAAATTTATAATGATGAATGGATTAGTTTTTGGAAAGGGCCAGACAAACCTCGGTTTTATGTTCCAGAATCAATGGTTTCAAATGTGATACGTATTTATCACGATGAAATGGCGCATTGTGGTATGGAGAAAACCTTACAAGGAATTTCATGTAACTATTGGTTTCCTTCGTTACGTAAGCGTGTACGATCTCATATTGACAATTGTATAATATGTTTATTGGCTAATTCAGCATCAAACTCATGTGAAGGTGAAATGCAAATAACGGAAAATCCTGCATTCCCCTTTCAAATTATTCATATGGATCATTTTGGTCCTATTGTTGAATCCGAACATGGATTTAAACATATTTTTGTCGTGGTAGAGGCATTTACAAGATTTACCTGGTTGTATCCTGTAAAAACCACAAATGCTAAAGAAATTATAAGACATTTAATGTCCTTATTTCAAATATTTGGGAATCCACAGATAATAGTATCTGATAGGGGATCTGCATTTACTTCACAAGAGTTCGAGAATTTTTTAAAGAAAAATAATATTAACCATAGGTTAGTTGCTGTAGCTGCTCCGTGGGCAAATGGAATGGTTGAAAGGGTGAATAGATTTTTAAAATCATCCTTACAAAAGTTAATCGATGAATCTCAAGGTTGGCATGATTGTCTTGGAACAGTTCAGTATGTTATTAATAATACATTCCATTCCTCTTTGAAAGCATCTCCGTCTAAGTTGCTCCTTGGATACGAGCAAAGAAATCATGCAGATTCCAGTTTAGTTAATTGTTTAAAGAAAATATCTAAAACAGATTTAAATTTTGATAATGTTAGACAAACGAGTCGTTCAATTGCATTGGAAACTGTAGATAAAATTAAAAACTATAATAAAATATATTATGATAAACATCATTCAAGACCAACTCGTTACAAAATAGGTGATTATGTTCTTATTAGAGATACACTATTGAAATCTGGAGAAAACAGAAAATTTAAACCAGCATTACTCAAACAATTTTGGAAAATGTATAAGGTTCTTTAAAGGTGAAAGTATTAACATTTCTCTGTAAGGGTGTTTCATTTGTTTCACGGTAATTTTATGTAGGCGGGTGTATAGGAGGATTTGTGTCTGTCTAATGAATGCCGGGTGTTTGTTTCTGTGTAGTGGGTAGTGCGTGTTACATGTACATATAAAAAAAAAGAGGAAGGGGATGTTGACGGCGTGGGTGGTTTCGAACCTCGGTTCTCGTTGCGCCAACGGCGCTGTTCGATTGGGTGTCTTTCTTTGTGTCTTACAACCTACATTGGGGTTTCTCCAAATTTCTCCAAATTTTAGGTATGGAGAAGTGCTGCTTGCAGGGCGCATTGGACGAAGGGCTCTTGCGGGACTTGGCTGTGTTCAATGGGGATTCACCACAGGGGGGGGGGGAGATCGGAATCGGTGAGGAGTCAGCTATGACCTCTCCTTGTTAGAGTCGTGGAAAAACGAATACTCGAGCCCGGAGCTGACTACTAGCTAAGTAGTGAGTCGGTTGAAAAACGAAAACGAAGTGAATTTTCGAGCGAAGATTTCGCGTATCCTCGAATCTTAGCGTCTCCCACGTATCCTCTCCATTAGGCAATCAAAATTCTTTTTTAACAAATCAAATCTTTACTAATTACCCCTCTCATGAGTAGGAGGTGCTACCCTTCCAGAAGAAGGTCCAGAAATTGCGCCTATTGGTGTAGGTTTTTGTCTTTAGAAGTTAAGTCCAGCTTATTGGAGAGTCCGTTATGATCGGCTAAGTTGACATTTTTATTATTCCCGCTGAAATTTATCTCAAACAGATAACACAAGAGGGTGGTCTGGCAGGCGAGCACGCGGTGTCAAGTATCGCGAAATTGAAGTATGTTGCTGTTCATGACCTACTGATGAAATGTTCTCATGGGCGCAACTCGAAATAATGAGCCAGTTTCGAGCTAGAGAGCGCTGAAGTCGTCAACATACGTAGTACGTTAAGGATTTGTGTAAATGATATTTTAAGCGCGTGAATGCGTGTGTATATATCTGTGTGTGTTTATATGCGTGTACATTTAGATTGCTTAGTCCTGTTCTCGAGTGCCGAAAGGTCAAAGTTCAGCATCTTTCTTGCTACAAGCAGACACTTCGTTCATTTGGGAATATTATTATTTCTCATATTTCACTCTAGTGATATATAAGTTATCTATCTATTTTATCTATTATTAGCGTTAACCAGGATCAACGACGAGAACGTTTTGAGAATATGATCCCTTTGGGGTGCTTGATTATAAGATGAGTCCCCTTGCCTCTCACCATACCATCGGTATATATTATACTATTCCTGTTAGTTAACGATTTCGGGTAGGTTATTCAAATCCGGCGGTAATGGCCTTTCAGCAGCATCAAATCAAGTGTATAACAGTGATATTCTTGGGTATTTGACCTGTTGTTGATGTCTTGCAAATCCAAGGTACCACAAGATACTAGCGATATGAGCACACGTACCTAAAGTTTTCGCTCTTGTTCTGCACGTACAATAATAACCCATAATCGGATTTTCTTCTTCATCGTCATTGTCATTTCCTGTAACATAAGCGATCCATTGTTGGTGAATAATGTTATTTCTGAAACGAGAATATAATCGAAATCTTATAAAACCTGGCTCGACCGCATGCACGTCTACCTGAAAAACGTTTTCCTCTCTAAGCAATGTATCTTGAATATATAAGGGAGCCAATAATAGTTGATATATCCCCAATGTTAGATATTGTAAATATTCAAAAGTAAGCTCAGGAAAATCTATAAGTTGATTGTGGTCAAGACGAATCCATTCAGCTCTTCTCCGACGCTGTAGATTTTCTGCTTCTATCCGTGCCTGGACTATATTTATCTCCTGTGTTCTCGCTAGTAATGTTAAAACCAACTCTGCATCAGCACCCTCCATCTGTATAGGCTCACGATATCGATCAAGAGACACGGTAGTGTCTCGCGCCAAGTCCC